CTGGAATACTTAATCCACACTGGCGATGTATCTCTTCAAGTCCAACATGTTCATCTGGTATTCGGTCTCTGGTATATCTGGTATTTGCAGTCCTCTAACAAAGGAGTGAAAATCCTTCTAAAGCAATGAGGTAGGGAACAAGCTTTCACCCCAACAGCCTGGAGTTGTTCCACTGTGGCAAGAGGAAGTGACCCACAACGTTCAAAGTAGTTCACAGTAACTTGTGTGAGCCCACCTCACCAATCAGTGACAATTAGGTATCTTTCAGATTATCCAAGCTGGAGGACACCAAGGAATTATCAGAGGTTCCCAGTCACATAGACAACCCCAAAGAGAAAGAATCCACTAAGCAAGAAAGAAGATCTGGTATCTTTAAGCACACCTGCTCCAAATGGAGGCCCACATTTGAAAAGAACATAAGTCAGCACAGCACTGAGGCTTTTAGAAAAGATCACGGCAGGAACCAGTTAGGCCCTGGATAACATCAAGTTACAGTGAGGAAGATTTTATTTTCCACCTGTAATCCTATGTCAGCCCTCACAGAGCTGTGACATTTTCTACTTTATATATTCCTTTCATCCCCATGTTTCCACGCTCTTGCCATGTTTCACGTTCTGTGATGAGAAATAAGATTCCTGGGCCTCTGTACAGTTCTCCCTGCGTAAGTGTCTGGTGTCATTTCTCAAGTGCTCTGTTCCAAGAGGGCTTGGGTTTCCCATGGGGCCTGTGTCTTACTGACCAGCCCCATAACAGTGTTCCAGATAGCCTATGGCACCTCAGGTTTTACTGATAGGCTCATAAGTTTAGGCAGCTGAATTGAGCCCCTAGTGAGGCCACTGCTGCTGCAATTCAGGCAGTTCAGTAACTGCTTCATCAGTGGTTAAGCCACCCACAGATGGATATGGGAACCACCAGGGCAGGGAAGAGAGAAAAGCAGTCAGCAGTAACTACCGTGCTGTACAATTTTAACCTGCCTGTGTTTTTCAGAGTACCATGTGGCACCCTCTAAGATGTAACATTCCTCAAATTAGCCCATATACACTATAAGGCAAGACCATGCACATGTGCAGCCAGGTGAGATGTTACCCCAGGTTAACTGTTCCCCAAATACATGTTTTTATCTCATGCTAAGTTTGAGGTATTGAAGTTAGCTCACCCCTTGCTGGAAGAAGGGTAAACCACCTTTTATCCTTACAGGGAAAAAGTCTGCAGGGACAGGCACCGCACAGCAGTGAGGGGTCAGAATTAGCTTGTCTATTGAGATATCTGAATGGCAGTGTCTACACATAAGCTGGATGTCCCACCTCCCAGTATGGTCAGTGGAGATGCAGGGCTCAGTTCAGATGCCCACACATAGGTATCCTGTGCTATTTACGATGTTGTAGGGCATCCGAAACATCCACACAGGGCTGTCAGATAAGACACTCCTCTGGAAAGGTAGATGGAAGCCAGCTGTGTCTTTCTACAGAGGGTAGAAAACATGTCACTAGACACCTGTGCTTAGAGAACTAAATTCCTCCTACATCCCTATTGATGTTAATGGGAGATAAGACACCACACTCACGTCTGCTCCTGAGTGCAGATGTCTTAATTCACAAGCTGTATCCTTCCCCACCCGAGTGTCGTCTTGCTCCCATGTCAGCGTGCCTAGGCATCGGTCAGAGGGAGGCAGGACAGGACGTGTAATCCCTAACACCACAGGCTCTGTGTCAACAGGGACACATACCACTGCAACTGGTCTAGGGTGGGCTGCACTACTTAGTGCCAGCAAAAAAATCCCTTTCCCTGAACTCATCCAAAGAGTCTGTCTTTGATTCAAGCTGGCCCTGGCTCAGTGTGAAAGGCAGAACAAGCAGTGTCACTGAGGCTGTTCTCCAACCCCCTGACGATCTTCTCCCTCTGGCCATATCTGGATGTTGGCTCAGCTGCCAGGCAATAGCAAGCAATGAAGGAGGGGATCCCAGGCACCTTATGAAAGGCGCTGTGAATGCAGTCCTGGTGTGCCTGTGGATCACAAACAGGGCAAGGGACACAAAGAGATCCCCCTCTTTACAGGTTACAGCATGGTTTTGTCTATGCAGAAGGAGAAGGGATGGGAATTTGAAGCAATCACCTTGTCATTCGCCTTGGAGATGCTTCCCTTTTATGGACCAGAGCACTGCTCTCACATACCACAGCTGTGCTCCAGCCAGTCACACACATGATTCTCCCACAGAGCTGGGATTTTAAAAGTACACTGGCCTTGAATGAAGGAGCTGGTTGGCTGATGCTCTACTAGTTCTAGACGTGGAGTAGGGAGAAGCTTCAGTCATCAAGCAATTGGAGGCTTCAGCACAGAGTAAAGTCAGCTGCTATTTTAAGGAAAGGAAGGGCAACTATTCCCTGAGGAGGAATGACTGCACTAGCTCAGAGCCAGGAATAGGCTGATTTTTTTTTGATTTATTTTTTTCTCTACACTTCAGGAAAAAGCGAACACACAATGTTCATTCGCAGGGATCGTTTCCTGAACGTGATGTGTGCTCACTGTCCCTCAGGTCACTTTCCAATGTGTCACATCCTTCTGCACAAGGGAGAGCAGGAAATGGCAAACTCCCAGTATGAGGCAAAGCATTCTCATCACAGCAATTGGTCCACAGGAGCTATAAATTGGTCTCCTCCAGAAACAGACCAAAATTTGTCTTTGGGGAGGTTGACTGGAAACTAAAGGTAAGTTGGAACCAGCATTCTTTTGGAGTCTGTCCGAGCACTGCGTTAGGAAAGTGTTTGCAGTTCAGAAACAGGTTTGGGAGTAACGCACACTTTATTACTGGGGAGATTTTTTTCTAAAAGCAAGGGTTGTGTTTGTTTTATTTTATGCTGGCATAAATCAGTGTATGAGAAGACTTGCACTGGTGTAAGGCTGATGCTATATATTGAATGACTGTTCTATTAACTGTGCAGTGGGATGGCCATTGTTTTGAGAGGCTACAGGAATCAATATATTTAATGATCATCATATTGATCCACTGTTAAGTCACTGATGATGTGCTCATTGTTCGTTTCAATGACTGTAACTATTCAGGTTAGGGTTAGTCTTGGTATGTTCAGCTTCATATCTGACTATAGTGTCAAAAATAAGATGACACTGCCTCCAATTAAGAAAAAAGCAGTGTACCAAGTGGTTCAAATAGCCAGGTGATACTGTGGATCTCAGAGAGACTGGGATAGTTGTTCTGAGGGGCAAGAGGGGATCCTAAAGGGTTCTGTGTGAGATGGATTACAATAAGTAGAAGGGAAAAAACTGCAGTAAGAATTACCTATTTTTGCTTACACACTTCAAGACAGAAAGACTGTTTATGGTAGGAGGTTTCCTCCTTCTGGAAGACAGTGATTCTGCAGAATGAAAGCCCCAAGGATCCTAACCATTCAGTGTGCCAGTGTGAGGGATCAGGTGCCTCCAGTTCACACAGTAAAGAAGATTTAGAAGACAGAAGTTGTTTGCAATAGTGAAGAGCTTTGCCTCACTGGCTCTGGAACAGGGTCCTATCGCTACAGAAACTTTTCTCAGCTATGAGGGCATTTAGGACTGCAAAGAACTTCTTAGCTCCATAGCTAGACCTTGCTAGGCACAGAGGCAGCGCAGCACTGCACACAGTGCAGTGGTGTGGAGAATACAAGCTCTGCTCCCATCAGCCAGCTGGTGATGCTACATCACTCCTATTGTCTCCCTATGCCTCAGTTGCTCTATATGTAAAACAGGGCTAATGAGGCTGAACCTTCTGTGTAAAGCACTTTGCAGTCTGACAGTGACCTGCAAATGCTTATTAAATCATTTCTTTCTACCCTTGTGACAAAGGAAGGCAGAGAGAGCAAAACAGGGATCACCTAGCCCTGAAACACTGAAGATTCACCTCTAGAAGGGGAAGATGCTCTTCTACCACCTTGTCAGGGAGGTTGCCTTAGCCAGTAGTTTTCAAGCCTTTTCTCTTCACAAGCCCCTGTATTTTCCCTTCCAAGGAGTGCACACCCACAGCGAGCTTGTCTTTCTGAGGGGCCCTTCATGGACCTCTTAAACAAGGTCCATAGCCCTTCCGGACACTGCACTGGGGATCCACAACCATAGGTTGGGTTGAGCACCACAGAACAATGGTTCCCAGCTATGTCCAAATCCTGACACCAGGTTACAATAGGAAAAAAATATATATATTGCAGGAGCTTGAGTTCCAATCAGGCATAAAGAGAGGAAGGATGTTCACAATCCCCATCTGAGACATCGATGAGCATCCCAGCTCTTAGATGGAAAAGATAGACCCTGACTCTCTCAGCAGCTTCCCCCGACCTCCTTTAAGGGGAAAGGACCCTTGGATAGCAACCTGGGATGGCTGGCTTTCACCTCCCCAGAACTTGGCCTTTCTGTCAAGGATGGCTTTGAATACTGCAAATCCTCTGAATCCCACTGCAGGGACAACACTAGCTACTTCTGGGAGCATTACTATGCTGGACACTAGGTCATTTCATCTTAAGGAAGTCTCTGTCCTCAGGGTTAGAAGAGGCATTTTATGTCTTCATAGAGATGAGAGCAACTGTACCTCTGACCCCAGACCTTAAGACACTTTAGTCTTCACAGGGATCAAGAAAACCATCCAGAAGTTTCTCTGTCTGAAGGTTACAGTGGACTATGGTAATTAAATGTGCATGTGAGTATGTGCACGTGTTTGTGTGTACGTGAGTATGTGTGTGCGTGCAGACAGCAAGCCTTTCATGTAGCTGGGTGAAGCAAAAAAATTGGCTGAATGCCACCCTTGGAATGGAGGTCCAGGCCGAGCACGTCTCACATTTTTTTTTAAATAAATCCCAATCCAGCTTTTTCTGTTTCTGGACAGGGGCCATGGAGAGAAACGGTGCTGCCTTTCCCCAAACATTAGACCCCACATGCCACTTCCACATATTTCTGCTGGATCAGAGACAGAGGCTGCACAGCCAAATTGCACATCTTCATGAAGTGGCTCAGAAAATCAACAAGCTCCGCAAAAGGTCTCTGATTGCCAACATCAGTGGGAGCTCTCTGACCGCTGCAGGAGCAGTCACAGCCATCGTGGGACTGTCCCTGAGCCCAGTCACGCTGGGAGCCTCTCTCCTGGCCTCAGCTGTGGGTCTGGGTCTAGCCACTGCCGGGGGGGCTGTCAGCATCACCTCCGACCTCTCCTTAGTGCTCTGCAACTCCCGGGAGGTGAGGAAGGTGCAGGAAATTGCAATGACTTGTCGGAAACAGATGAGGGAAATCCTCGGCTGCTTGGAATTCCTCCGCCGGGGGCAGGGCCCAAGGGACCCCATGCTGCTGCAGTCAGAGAAGAGGGCCTCCATCTCGCTGTACAACTCCGTCTGCTTCATGGTCTTTTATGGCTCCCACAGCTTCCTCGTACCAGAATACACAAAGGAGGTCACAAAAGTGAGCCAGGTCGTGCTGAAGGCCAAAATCCAGAAGCTGGCTGCTAACCTTGAGACCTGCACCAGGGCAATGGATGAACTCTGTGAACTCCTCGAGTCCAGGACAGAGCTTTCCTCACACACAAGAAATCTCAGCTTGGGCCCTAAAGACACTGCTGAGACTCCAGGACGATCCAGCTGAAACAGTGCTTGCCCTCATGATTAGAACAAGCTTGGAGACACTACCTTATTAATTGTCACTGTTACCATTAGCACTGCTACCTGCTGTTATCATAATATCGGTGGTGCTCACCCACACATATGTTCACATCTCTCATGTGCCTTATTTATATCTGAACACAAACTTCTTTCTGCCAGGAAGCCAAAGGTTTGCAGCACCCTTTGCAGCACCTACCCAGCTGAGGCTGGGGCTTATGATGGACATCTGGCCCAGCGGGTACATGGCAGCAGGGGTAGGCAGGTGCTCCTCAGATCCACATTTCCCTGGCCATCTTTCTGGTTCTGCTTCCCCATGGTAGCAGAAAGAAGTGGGTCAGGAGACTGCTGAAAATCCGGAAGCCCTGGTGCTGCCCCTGGATTGTAAATAATCTATGAGACTCCGAATAATGAAAGGGCTGGGATACTCTCAACGAGCTAGCAGCTGCCAATTTCCAGTAAAACATAGTTCTGTTATGAAGGTACATCTGGAAAGGCTATTGAAGGAAGCAGCCCCAGAAATCACAGACTGTATAGGCAGATGGCTCATCATCCAAGGGTGAAACAGAGGATCCAGAAAGTATTACCCCTTCTGAAGAAACATTTCCAGACTAAGAACTGTAATGTTTATATTCTATTTATTTACATTGGATTATTTTAAGGCTTTGAAATTGTTTTTAAAGAAAAAATGTGCTTTTTCTTTTTCTTTTTACAAGGAGGCCTCCACTCCAAGGGGAAGCAACTGTTCTTAGAGGCAAAGCAAGTCTGTGGCATGTGAGAGCAAGTTACCCATTCTATGGCTGTAAGGGATGTCAAGGCCTTGTGGGAAGGGGAAAGTGTGGCCAGAATGCTGAAAGTTATAAAATATGTGGCCTATGGTCACCAATGACTGCTCTTAAGAACCAAAACAGGGAGAAGGAAGGGTCAGAGAGCCTGGGACCAGGGCCTGCCTCAGGGTACTGGTAGAAGAAAGCAATTGTACCTCGTGCAGCAGGGAGGGCAGTGTAGGTTGGTGTTACCGGTCTGAGCTGGAGCCCATCTGTGATGGAAGCAGGTTTGAGAGAAGGTGGGGACGGAGGCACTCTCTGTGCAGTTGAACAGCCTGTGAGACCCACAGTGGTTTGTCTGGGAGGGAGGGAGGAGGCTGCACTCTCAGAGAGCTACACATACTCCTAGGAATGCTCCCTGGGGAAGGCTTCACATCAGCAATATATATGGGTACTAATAATCAAGAGGGGTGCAGAGGGGTAGGATGATTCAATGTTCAGAGCACTTACGAAGCAGGAGGGAGGCCTGGGACCCAGTTTCAGCTTCAAGTGACTGATCTGCCAAAGATGTCCTCTGTGACCCTGGGCAAGTCATTCAACCCCTCAATGCCTCAGTTCCCTGTTTACAAATGGGGAGAGTAGCACTTCCCTACCTCACAAGGAAGTTTCTAGGACAAATATTACAGATCATTCAAGTACTGTGATGATAGGGATCGTGTCAATACCTGACAGAGGTTCAGGGAAGAGACCCTGGAAGCTAGCTTGAGACAACCAAAGGAATTAATGCAGGGATAATTCCACATTCACAAGGAGACCCTAGTGGATAAGGGAAACTTCCCTGCACATTCGTGAACCAAAATGATCAGAAAATCATTTTATAATTCTGCACTGAATAAACTCTTGGGAAGGACAACACTCCTTGAAAAGCTTGAATCCTCACCCTTTTTTCTCCTCCTCGCATGATCTCAACATTTGGTTTTACATGTAAGAAAAAAGAAAAACTTGGTCCTTCAGAGCATGACTCATGTCTGTAATGTCCGTGCTTGTTTGCTGTAAATGAACAAGTATACTGCTGATTCAATTAAATGAATATGAAGCAATTTTTTCTCGCTGTCTCCCTGTACACCTGCATGTAAAGGACTACATTCCTACCCCCGGCCTGACCCTACTCAATTTCATGCTCCAGGCACTGCAACTGAGGAATAAGCACGAGCAGCATACAATCAGTACCAGTGCTTAAAAGTGGAGAATGAGACGTGAGGTCATCAGCTCCATGTCACAGAGCTGGCATTTGTGTACAAGTGTATGCATTTATGTTTGTGTGAGAGCATAATCTGTCACGCATATGAGCCCATGTACACTAGGAAGGCAGGTCTCTGACAACATGTAAAACAACCACTGTGAGGTATTTATGTGTGAGAGCACGAGTGTGTTTTTGGGTGCAAATTGAACCCTGTGTAAAAATGCAGACACAATGCAAAATCTTTGCTAGTGTTCCAGCATATCACCAGCTAACTCTACTAAACCACTTACAGCTTCTCCACTCCAGTATTGTCATCAATAGGACTTATCTTACCCCAAATAATTAACTGCAGAGATGGCTCTGCTTTTGTCAGCATAGAGAAAATTATATAACCTACTTCTCCTATCGCCTTCCCAGTTTTTGGACAATGCAGTGCTTGCCTATGCTTCCCCACGCCAGGAACAAACAGGAACACAGGACAACAACACAGCTCTGAATAGGCTAAAATGGCTGGCTGAAGGATCTGAATTTGATCCAGTGCTTCACAAGGGCTGGTTTGCTCTGCTCAGCACAGTCCTGCATTGCAGTCATAGACACCATTTCAAAAGCTGAGGACAAATCAGAGATACTTCTGCTTCCATTCTCAACCACATAGGCAAAAAGTCCTGCTTCTGTTCTGCCCTTCCCTGCTTAACCCTTCCTTGGATTTGAGTTGTTGGGCAGCAGTACTGTGGGAGTGTGATCAGACCCAAGGTACCCTGCTCTCCTGGTCAGGTCTCACTCACGCCCTACTCTACATATGTTTGCTAGGAACACAACAGGAGGATCAAGCAGGAGAGTGGGGCCTCAAGCTGGAAGATATTTTATACTACATAAGTCAGAGGAGATATGTGAGTTTTGTTTGCTTTCAGACCTATTCAAGGCTCTTGGACAATTTTTAAGCTAGGTGATCCTGTAAGTCTTTGTGTGCACCCTCACACCTCAGTTACACTGATCTAGCAATTAGCAGCCAGGGAAGGAGGTGGTCTGATCCTCCTCACCCTGCTCCAATCACACCTTCTTGTCTCCTCCCTCACAGCCAGCAGTGGATCTCACTGGATATCCCAAGGAGCCACCTCCAGGAGTCCTGTGGGAAGGTCTCTACCACATTGTGCAAGAAGATTCATTTCCTATCACTTTTGCTCCCTAAAACAGCTTGCTGCTAGGTCAGATGAGCACCAGAGCCGGTACCAAGAAAGCACTAGGAGCAAGTGACCCAGGCTGGGACAGGGTAGCACCTATTCCAATATTGGCTTAGTCACAATACTGTGACTCCTTTAGAGTCACAAGCAACACCTGGGGGAAGTGTCTTAGCTAAGCAGCTTTTTTTTACTAGCAATTGTGTTACTTAAACCGCAAATCAGTAGACATGTTGTTTGAGCCCTTCCTTCGGTAACTGGGCAGCAGCGGGCAGGGGGTTGATGATTAGCCTGGGCAGGTAGTTTTGAAGCCTCACCTCCTGATGCCATTTTTACTCCCCTTTTATTGAAACTGTTGCAGGGAGGAATGATTCAATAGTGAAGTAGGAATGAGATCATGGTTTTAATACAAAGTCCCATAATGTACTTTAAAAGTATAATAAAAGGTATCTACAACAATAGCTTCTCTCTGGACATCCCAAAGGGTGGATAGGACCATTTGCCATTAGCTGTGCCTACTATACCCATTGTCCATCTTGTTTTATTATGCATCCCTTATAAAATCATTAGCATTATACCTGCACTAAAATTCACCTGCTGTGGATGCTCCCACCTCTGTTCCCTCTAAGGAATACTGAGCTTGTAACATGCAGTATGGATAGGAATGCATTTGGTCAAAGGCAAAGTCTAAAAGCTCTGGAGTGAAAAATTTGAAGTCCAGTATAATCTGCAGTGCCCTGTTCTGAAAAGCACAAAACGGGAGTCACCATCCAGAAGCAGTACTTATTTTATCACACACAAATGCTCTCCACAGCAGTTTAGGACAGGAGGAAACTTCCGCTCAAATATATCTACTGACAAAATGGAATTACCCAAACTGGAATTTCACCAGAACAGCTGTAACTTTCCTGTACCTAAAACATCCTCCTACAGCCATTAGTGCATTGGGGGGTTATATCTAACCGCCCAAACAAGCATCTACCATATTATATGGGCAATGAGTTCAACAGAGAAGCAGAAGCACTGACTTCCTGTTATATCTCTGACTCCATTTCTTGAGGCATTCTAGAAACCCTTACAAGGGTTCATGTCTAAGTACTGGCCAGGCCTAACCTTTAGCACTGCTGATATATAGCAAGCTCATGGCTCAATTTTTTTTTAAGTTTTGAAACAACTGGTTATAGCTAGTATCCTCACTTTTTTTTTTTTTTTAATGATTGCTCCTGAACACAGTGGGACGCAGCAGTTTTATTTCCACTGCTGCCCTGTGAATTGTTCCAGGCTTCCTTTCCTTTCCCTGTCATGCAGAGAGTTTGTTCGGATTTCCTCTCACTTTCCTCATTGTTCTGGGAGTAGAGGAAATGGCACACTTGGAACCCAGTGACAGATGCTCAGGTACGTCAGCATTTCCACTGTGAGCACACCCAACTGGGCCTCACGAGTGGCAAGAGAGAGGGAGGTTTGGTCAGAAATGCAGTCACAAGTTCCGTTTTGAAGTCAGCACCGCTGTCTTTTCCAGGCACAAGCTCTTTGATACATTTGCATCCTTTTTCCTAAAGCAAAGGATGTTCACCTAACTCCAAGGTTGCCCTGAGGCAATCAGCATTAGGACTGAAGATCACAGAGGCTACACCCAAACTAGCCAGAAACCAGTCACTTCAGGAACTGCAATCATGAAATGATATTTTGGTGCTGCTCTCCCCCAAACAGCATGAAGTCTGTCACCCTTTTCACCTATCACTGTGCACCTGCAGGCTCGTGTCCTGGGAGACAATAGCAGCCACCAAGGGTAGCCACCAAGCTACCCTCTCCTAATTCCATCATTTTATGTGAGTTGCTACAGCATTGGGGTATGTTCAAATTTGCACACTGGAAATTACCATGAATGGGAAAAGGGGATGGAACAATGATATTTCTGGATTTTTCTCTCTTTTTCCACACTGGTATTTCAAAAGTTTTTATAGCAGTACTTTTGAAGAAAATGTGTTGTTTATATGCTTGTACTGTTGTGCCTGGCTGGCTCATTTTGCCTCGTCCCTTCACAATTGTAGAATTTATGCATATGAAAAAACGACATATTGTGCACACAGCCTAAGCAGTGCTGAGTTGCGGGTCAGAGGCTTAGCCATTTATGGATAATGCCAGGCAAACCGGTTTTTACCTAGTGAATTCACTGTTCTCTTATTCCCAGCACAGGTGGTTATAACTCTGTAATTCCTCCTTCCCTGAAGATCTCTACTCAATTCAGTGAAAACATACCCATGCTTTTTGATTCAGCAAAGCATAAAACTATTCACATAAATCCAACTCTCTTTGTGGAAGCTTAAATCCATTTAACTTTAAAGGAAACATCCCTTATATGCATTTAGAAGAAAGGCCTCCTCAAATGTGCTGCTTAATAGCAGCCTCCTGAATCAGGATGTTTCTGCAGGCATGGAAATTCAGCCTTCCCCATCGAATTTGACCCCTTTACATCAGGAGGGGCTAATTACAGCATTTGTTACCTCGAGCATTAAACTCACTTCCCAGAGGCCCGAACTCTGAAGAACTTCGTGTACAGAGAAGACGCCTCCTGACCACGAGCACATACGATCACCTCTATCTCACAGCAGCACTACCGCCTTGCCTAGTACTTCGATGCCGCAGTGCGGCTCTGCCTCCAGAAAGCGAGAGCCTAGAAACACCGGCGGTGGCGGCGACAGCCCGGCCGTTGGCGGCTGACTGAAGCCCGGCTGTTAACGGCCA